TTCCAAAGTGTGTTTGTACAAAATGAAATCTTTAGGGAACCAGATACAATAAGAATTCCAGAGAACAACATAGAACACATAGAGGTGTCTAGAGACGAAGTGGAAAAAATGCTCAAGGAGCTCGGTAAGAACAAAGCAGCTGGCCCAGATGGCGTTTCACCATGGGTTCTGAGAGAATGTGCATCTGAGCTCAGCATTCCACTTCACCTGATCTTTCAGGCATCCCTGTGTACAGGAATCGTAGCAGACGGGTGGAAACAGGCTAACATAGTTCCAATCTACAAAAGTGGCAGCAGGGAAGACCCCCTCAATTATAGACCTGTATCATTGACAAGTGTAATAGTGAAAGTATTGGAAAAGCTAATCAAAACTAAATGGGTAGAACACCTGAAGAGAAATGATATAATATCAGACAGACAGTATGGTTTTCGATCTGGAAGATCCTGTGTATTGAATTTACTCAGTTTCTATGATCGAGCCACAGAGATATTACAGGAAAGAGATGGTTGGGTTGACTGCATCTATCTGGACCTAAAAAAGGCTTTCGACAGAGTTCCACATAAGAGGTTGTTCTGGAAACTGGAAAATATTGGAGGGGTGACAGGTAAGCTTCTATCATGGATGAAAAATTTTCTGACTGATAGAAAAATGAGGGCAGTAATCAGAGGCAATGTATCGGAATGGAGAAATGTCACAAGTGGAGTACCACAGGGTTCAGTTCTTGCACCAGTGATGTTTATTGTGTACATAAATGATCTACCAGTTGGTATACAGAATTATATGAACATGTTTGCTGATGATGCTAAGATAATAGGAAGGATAAGAAATTTAGATGATTGTCATGCCCTTCAAGAAGACCTGGACAAAATAAGTATATGGAGCACCACTTGGCAAATGGAATTTAATGTTAATAAATGTCATGTTATGGAATGTGGAATAGGAGAACATAGACCCCACACAACCTATATATTATGTGAGAAATCTTTAAAGAATTCTGATAAAGAAAGAGATCTAGGAGTGGTACTAGATAGAAAACTATCACCTGAGGACCACATAAAGAATATTGTGCAAGGAGCCTATGCAATGCTTTCTAACTTCAGAATTGCATTTAAATACATGGATGGTGATATACTAAAGAAATTGTTCATGACTTTTGTTAGGCCAAAGCTAGAGTATGCAGCTGTTGTGTGGTACCCATATCTTAAGAAGCACACCAACAAACTGGAAAAGGTGCAAAGACATGCTACTAAGTGGCTCCCAGAACTGAAGGGCAAGAGCTACGAGGAGAGGTTAGAAGCATTAAATATGCCAAAACTAGAAGACAGAAGAAAAAGAGGTGATATGATCACTACGTACAAAATAGTAACAGGAATTGATAAAATCGACAGGGAAGACTTCCTGAGACCTGGAACTTCAAGAACAAGAGGTCATAGATTTAAACTAGCTAAACACAGATGCCGAAGAAATATAAGAAAATTCACCTTCGCAAATAGTGGTAGACGGTTGGAACAAGTTAAGTGAGAAGGTGGTGGAGGCCAAGACCGTCAGTAGTTTCAAAGCGTTATATGACAAAGAGTGCTGGGAAGACGGGACACCACGAGCGTAGCTCTCATCCTGTAACTACACTTAGGTAATTACACTTAGGTAATTACCATAAAAATGGTGATAGACAAGCATGAAAAACTCTAGACTCAGCAAGCATAAGAAATATTGCTGGAACAACCGTGGACATCTTCAAGAGGAAACTAGATTTATTCCTCCAAGGAGTGCTGGACCAACCGGGCTGTGGTGGGTATGTGGGCCTGCGGGCTGCTCCAAGCAACAGCCTAGTGGACCAAACTCTCACAAGTCAAGCCTGGCCTCGGGCCGGGCTTGGGGAGTAGAACAACTCCCAGAACCCCATCAACCAGGCATCAACCAGGTATCTAGATGCAAAGGTTGGAAGAGAAAGTCAAACCAGCAAGGAACATCTCCGGACTGATCTGCTGAAAGACGCAGAGCTGCAGAAAAATGCCTGGATTTGGACACGCCAAAAGAGCCAGAAACCAAGGCTGAACTAGTCGCCAAGGAACCAGAAGGATCACCCTGTCCTTGTAAGTCTCTAGTTTGGACAACACTTAAAATAACAGCATACCCAGAAGGAGCTAAATGAGCACCTATCTCTATCAGTCCAGCCAAAAGGCATCCTCCACTAGAGCCTCATGATTGGGGAACAGAACTACTCAAGACAGAAGCTGCTGGTTCCAGGCTGATGCAAAGATGCCTACCTCAGGGCAATCAAATACCTCGGAGCCAACACTAAGACACATCATTGATTTGGAACTGGGACAGAAATTAGAGAGATCCAGTAAGAATGTTACACTGTGTGGTGAACCAAGCACAAAGAACCTTAAAGACAAGCTACTCATAAGAGTTCAGATTCAAAGAGAAAAGGACCAAGTGACCCTCTCCCAATTTAGACAATGAACCACTAGACAGAGCAGTCAGAATAGGACTGGAGAAAAGGTACTGGAGGAAGAGGGCCCCTCTACAGGGCTTTCCACACTGCAGCACCATACTGTGCACTATAAGGAGGGGGGGGGGGGACCCACTCAACAATCCTACAAAGGCAAGTGATCACCAATCACAAACCCCAACCCAAGGAACAGTTGTTCCCAATCCTGCTTGGAGACATGGAACAACTGGGACACCTACTGAAGAGAGGCGGTTGACTTGACCATACCAGCCCAACTAAGTCACGATGACTGAATAGACCTGTGGGGAAAGACTCCTGACCCAGAACCCCTTGAAGCTAGAGGAGGAGGAGTGTACCAACTTTACTGTAGGTCTGGGGGACCACCTAGAAAGTGCATGCAAGATGTGACCAGCAGCTGGCAAAAAGTCCCACATCCCACCACAGCACCATCAAAGAGGCAAACCATTAAAGGGCTTGTTTAAAAATCCAGTGCAGAAGCACCTTTCCTCAATGCCCAAATATGACACTGACTAGAAAAGACGAGGGCCAGAGGAAGGGCAACAGCCAGAGAATCTGGAGGCTTACCCTGGAGAGTAAGCTCACAGAGGCTTCCTGTGCCTCTGTGAGGAAGCCAGGTTTTTGCTCTGGTCTCTGGTAGGCAATTAAGGGCTTCTAGGGCTGATGTGACTCATATGGAGCCATCTCATTGTGGCTAGCTGCAAGGTTACACTGTTTGGCCCCTCCAGAAAGATATACTGTAATGTATTCGTATTAAAAGGCATCTATACAGAATTTCTATTGATTAACAATAGTAATTGATTGTTGATTGATTGGAAGATTGATTAGCATTTTATATTATTGTCCTAATCAAGTGATGCTTGTGGGTGAATGGAGGCCAAGAAAGTAAAAAAAAATATCCATTTTCTATAGTAACTACTCGACTAATTTTTTAAGCGAACCTCTCATCATAATTTTTCTTCATCTCCCACAAGGTAGTATGCTGCATATTCTGACCTTAACTCACTCATTTGCTCCCGGAGCCAGAACCATTTGGACCTCTTTTCACTAACCAGGGACCAGATTCGCGAAGCAGTTACGCAAGTGCTTACGAACCTATCCATTTTATCTCAATCTTTGGAGGCTTTGTTTACAATTATTAAACAGATAATGAGCTCCGAAGCACCAGGAGCCTGTTTATAACAATAACAACAGTTGATTGGGATGTTTTTCATGCTTGTAAACTGTTTAATAAATGTAACCAAAGCAGTCAAAGATTGAGGAAAGATGTACACGTTCATAAGTACTATTAATAACTGTTTCGTGAATCTGGCCCCAGCTCTACAGAGAACCAAGTAGTTACTAAAAGCCGTCATTTGGCAGTCACTAGTGATGACAAAGAAAGGTACAGATAGGCTTTCAATTTTTATGAATGAACTGTAGTCATTCTGGGTTGGATTTTTATTTTCTCCAATGATTCTCAGGCATTTTGAATGACCCTACAGAAACATTTAAAAAGTTACGTGTGGTGCCAGTATGCTAGCCTGTCTAAGTGTGTGCTTCTGGTCATTCAGCACAGTGGGTCATACCTTAATGAGTAACTGAGTGTGACACGTCAGAAAAGAATAACATTAATTAAAATAATAATAAAAGTAAAAAATTAACATTTTAATAATTTAGAAATAATAATACTAGTAATACAAACGACACACGGAAGTAATGTTAGTAACGTTAAAAGCTAAATTGATTACTATAGCTGGAAGAGGATAGGCGATAAACATGCATAAGGGAGCCGGTGGCTGAGCGGACAGAACACTGGACGCGTGATCCTGTGGTGCTGGGGTTCGATCCCGGTCGCTGGCGAGAAAGTGGGCAGAGTTTCTTTCACCCTGATGCCCCTGTTACCTAGCAGTAAATAGGTACCTGGGAGTTAGTCAGCTGTCACGGGCTGCTTCTTGGGGGTGGAGGCCTGGTCGAGGACCGGGCCGCGGGGACAATAAGCCCCGAAATCATCTCAAGATAACCTCAAGAAGCACACGAAGATTGTGTGGAGGAGCAAGTATCATTAGGTTTACCTCATACTCTACCCAGTTAGAAGTGGTTGAGGATTGTGTGGAGGAGCAAGGTGTGCCATCAGGTTTACCTCATACTCTACCCAGTTAGAAGTGGTTGAGGATTGTGTGGAGGAGCAAGGTGTGCCATCAGGTTTACCTCATACTCTACCCAGTTAAAAGTGGTCAAATTTAAAGATGATACTTGGTAATAGTATTGTTGCTTCATTTGCCATAGTAATTTTAGTGAGCAGGTGATTTATGATCATCAAATAAATGATAAATATCTGCTACCATTTTGGAATTTACTAGAGTGATTTGTGATGTGAATGTGGACTTTTAATGAATTGAGTGAATGACCATGCAAGTTTTTCTTAAATATATAAAAGGTTGTGTGTGCATGGATGCATGCTTTTGATATCACTTGCATTTAAGAGAGTTAAGCTTACTTGTGATGTGTGCACTACTAACCCAGTGGTGGACTGGTATCTCCACAGACCCAGTGTTGGCACCCCTGGTCAGGCCCACAACCCATCAAACTGCAGCCTTCTCTCCAGCCCCATGCTCAGGTTATTCATCATAGTCTGTGCTCACCCTTCCCACATTCACTCTCATGCCTATGTGCCTTAGAGTGGCATGCACAGAAACAGTTCGCCACATTTTCCCCTCTGCCTTATTCTCATAGCACCCACCTTATAGGTAGTCCTATATGTTAGTCCTGTAGTGATAGTTTATCTATTATGTCACTACTTCAATGATACTGACACAGTAGACAGGTGTATTGTAGTGGTAGTTGAGCAGGTTCCTTATTGTTTTCTAAACTTGCTCCTTGGTTATGTATCCAACCCTTCTGCATCTGAAAGATTTCCACTTAAATTTTGTTTGAAGTTGTAGGGATCTATTCTTGGATGTAACACTGCACTTTATTCAAGTGAAGCTAAAAGTCAGGCTCTTTCTGGGCTGGCTCCATCAGTAGCCTTCCTGAGGTTAAATTTTGGCACTGCTAAGCCTTCAGATCTCACCAGGCCCCTGAGACACACAGGCCTACCAGGAACCAGAGCTAGAATCTGGGTTGCTCAGTTAGGGTTGGGACTGTCTACCCTGTTGTGGGCTTGGTGCCCTTGTTCCAAGCTGTGTATTTGTCCCAGCCTCTAGTCTGGGTGTCTCAGTTTCCCAGGTTGTGAGCCCTGAATTCTTAGGACTGTTGCCCCTTTCTCTTTGGAGTGTGTACACCTGACATCAATTGTTTATCTTGGTTGCCCATTTTAGCTGCCCATTTCAACTGGGGATGGATGTCTTCCTCCAAAGGGGATTTTGTCTTTTTTCACACTTGTGTGTTGAACACCCTCTTGTCCTTCTTGGGTGTTCTTGGCTTTCTAATGCATTCTCCGGTCATATGCTCTCAATCTTGCTTTCTTAGTGTCTTTCCAGGTTTGCTGGGTATTGTATCAGGTTTTATTTGTTCTTTGCCTCATTCACAGTTGGCACGGGGTTTGTATATGCTTTGGCCACCATCTCTTTCAGTTTCAGTGGAAACAGCAGGGTTCTGATCTTGAGCTCAGTTGTTCCTTTCCAGCAGTGGGTTTGCACACCAGTGATACCCTGGAAGGAAAACCTCCTGGTTTGGAGTGTTCATTTCCAAACCTTTTGCATCCCATACATAGCTCTAGTGTTCAATCTCGGTCAATGTCCAGTTTGGGGTCATCAGTCACAGGAGTCCTTATGCCTACCTGGAACCACAAGCCAAAACATGGCTTCCTCAGAGAGGCACAGGGAGCAACGGCCTATGAGCACTTTACATTTAAAGTATGTTGTAATTGCCATTGACTGGGGAAGCACCCAGAAAGATAGGCAAAACAAAACAGACCATATTCTGATGAAAATTTTGACCTACGTCCAAACATAGCAGAAGGACCCCCCCAGAAACAAAACAAACAAGCAACATTTCATTCAACAAGCACTCAAACTTATTAGTGATATACCCCCTCCATTTTCCCCCAGGATGGGGGGGCTGGGGGGAGGGGGAGCCAGCAGCGAACCTGTTGATAGCAGTGGAGTGGCAGCCCACCACTCCAGCTCTTGAACTGATGTGCTGTGGTCAGCTCGGTAACCTCTGGCCTCAAGTTCTGGTTCTGGATTTTGCCCTGTGTGGCTGTACCAGCAGTGTGTGTGGTGTGGTGGCCAGGTGTCTTATTGTATGTGGAGCAGCATACGCCTAGGGTGATCTTCCCTAGGTATTCCGTAAGTACTACCCTTGTGTTTCAGGGTTATTTTTTCTGGGGCGTTTGGGACTCGCTCCCATTTGAGGACTTTGTCACTTAGCGACAAAGTCCACGATGACGACAACAACTGCCTCCTACATTCCCTATCCTTACTCCTCTGCTACTGGCCAAATTCTTTCTGATGTCTGTGGCTCCTTTGGGTACTCGGCTTCCACCTGTGTCCCATTGTGGGTGTACCAATCATATTGATTCATCCATCTTTTTCTACACTGTCCATTCCCCTGAGGAATTGTGGGTGGTGGTCATGTCTGCAAAGCTTGTGTTCCCGGGGCAGTCTTGTCTTGTGTACGAGACTGTTGCACTTCTGTGCTGTATTACCTCGGTTTTGTCGGATATGAGACCAGAGAGATATCAAATAAGATACATGTGGAAATTACTAGAGCTAGGTCACAAATCTGGATAGTTAAATAACAACATACTGGAGTAAACAATATGGAAGAAAATACCAAAATAGAACCAGGTAAGAGCAGGGGTGCCATAGGCACAATCAGACTACACTGTATAAACAACAGAGGTCCACGGTTGTTCAACATCCTCCCAGCGAGAATAAGAAATATTGCTGGAACAACTGTGGACATCTTCAACAGAAAACTAAGTAGTTTTCTTCAAGAAGTGCTGGACCAACTGGTCTGGCTGTTGGTTCAAGCAACAGTTGAATCAAGCTCTCACAAGTCAAGCTTGGTCTCAGGCCAGGCTTGCAGAGTAGGTTCATTTGGTGTTATTATGCTCTCAAAACAGCATATGATCTTCATTTTCATATATTTAGAATATAGTGGAACCTTGAGTGACAAACTCCTCAATTTATGAGCATTTTGAATAACAAGAGCACCGATCGCCGACAATTTGTCTCGATTGGCGACCACTCGTTTGATTAACGAGAAAACCACATGGTGTGTTCCCGCTGCTGCTCGCACATTCTCGGGTGCCTTTGACGAAGCAAATAAATTATTTATTTTGTTTAAAGCTGCTAATGATGCTGGGATGTAAAGGGGTAACTGTTGTGATGTTGCAAAGCATTGAATTAAGGCCCACAACTGGTATCTGGTATTGGCATTGGCCTGTTCATGCGCCACTTGAGCCGTCTTGGTCTTTGGACCGGGTTCTTTCCTTTTTTTTTCTTTTCTCCTCAGTTTGTCGAGACTCCTTCTGTTCGGAATTGCTTAGAGAAAGCCTTGTTTTTGTTGGCATTGGTCTCTGTGGGTCGAGTTAGGGTGCTTCATGCTTTTCTCCGGCGTTGGGTGTTCTGTTCGTTTGGTCCTGGTTGTAGTTTTGTTCATTTACAGCCTCCCCCTTCCTTTCTGGCAAAGAATGTGATGACTGGCTTCCAGAGGGGTCTGTTGGTTATGGAGGCTTGGTTAGGTTCTGCTCTGGGTGGATCTGGTTTCCATGGTTCCTTGTTCCAGGGCACATGTGTCTCGGGTTGTTCGTGGTGTACTTATGTGTAGCTGGTCTGTGGTCTGCCCTTGTGCCTGTGATTTGAGGTAGTATGTTGCTCTTACTGCTTTCTTTGGTAGTACGTCTTAGGTCGACATTCGGGCACAGGGGTTTTGGAGGTCGTACATGGTGCCAGCCGCCAGGTATCTCGTGAACGTCTAGGGCCCCTCTCCGGCCTCGTGTTGCATTGGGGAGACTGTCACAGCTGATAGTCTCTTTTTCGCCTCGAGACCTGTGGTGCTGCCACCTCCCAGTCCCTGTTTTTTAACCAATCTGTGGGTAGTTGGTTTCAGGGAGCCGATGAAGCTTCCCACAAAAAACCAGTGTTGAATGTAATGAAACCCCATTTTCTGGACGAGCCCCCGGAGGCTCCCTGACACCCTCCCTCCCTCAGGTCGGTGGTCTTCATCATTCAAGAACTTAAGTGGTAGGCTGCTGGCTCACCTGAGCTGGCTTCCCCTCATCCCTTCCCCCTTCGGGGTTGGAAGCCGGTGGCGTAGTGCTAACGCACAGGAGTGCTTGCTGGATGAAATGTTGCTTCTTTTTCTTTCTGGCAAAGGTCTTCTGGTATATTCAGACATAGGTCGCAATTTTCACTAGATTTTGGACCATTTTCTTTTGCCTATTTTTCTAGGTGCTTTCCTGATCGATGGCAATTACGACATACTTTAAATGTACAGTGCTCATAGGCCATTGCTCCCTGCACCTCTGAGGAAGCCAGGTACCAGCTCAAGGATCCCGGTAGGCGTAATGACTTCTGTGACTGATGACCCCAAACTAATATAGCACATATCAATTCGGATAGTTTCAGGGAACCTCTGGGGCTCGCCCAGAAAATGGCATTTTATTACATTCAACGCTGGTTATTTGGGGTGTATCCCTGGGTGCTTTCCAGCAGGACTGTTGTTCTCTTGTTTCTTCCAGGTTTTCTGGATTTTCTTCCTAGGAGTTTGTCTGAGTATATTTTCCCTTTCGGGTTCTTTGTTTTGTTTTCTGTTGGATTTGTGACATTTGGTGGCGAGTTTTACTTCATTTTATGGTTTATCTCGGCTTGCTATTTGGACAGTGATGCCTACTGGCTGTGGCTGTTGTTGGTCTTGTTTGGTTTTGCCAAAGTTTGCCTTTTCATCTACTGTATGTGGTGCTCCTTTCTTATTTTGTCTTGGCTGTCATTGCAAGGTTCTTGGCTGTTTCGTCTTACATCATTCTCTGGGCCTAGGGGGTAGCTTTCTTCTTTCCCATGCTCTAGTCTTCTGCTAATTTCTCTCACAGGCAAGCCCATTACTGTCTTCTTGTAATCTTTTAATTTTGAGTTTTCTTTCAGCAAAGACTCCATCCATTAGACACCACTGTGAGTAAGCTCAAGGGAGCTACCAAAAGGATCAGCCCAGAAATTGTTGTAATGGTCATCCCTTTCTGGGCAGTCTCTCGGTAGATCTCCATTCCTGCTATGCTGTTTTCCTCCCTCTCGCTCACTCTCTTGGGATTTGTGGCTCCTTACATGTGATTTGTGACTGAGACAAGTAGCTAGTTGAGACCCCGGTGGCTTATCATGCTGCCTGGTGACAGCAGGATAAGGATTTTCATCATTTGTCAACTATTATAGTATTTTTTATTGTTTTCCTCATTTAATTTTTTGTTTAAAAGCAGTGGTTTAAGTTTTGCCTGGAATTTCTAGATGGGTTTTCCTTGGTTTCTGGGTCAATCTCTGATTGCAGTATTTTCCTCACCTCTTTGAGATAACTAGGCCCTGATCCTGGTTCCTTGTAGTCCTGTTTGTCTCAGGAGGCCTGGTACACTGGCTCTCCACTCTTCAGAGAGACGTGTATCCACAGTTGATGCATTCTATTCCT